CACCCTCTTAGCGGTTGCTCAGTCTCCAGTCCATTTCCTCAGTTCACTGCCAGCCCCTCAGTGCCCTTCTGTGCCTGGCCTACACCTTCAATCCACCAGTTGTTCTGTCCTTGAGGTGCACCAATTAAGGGCAACTCACACTCCACCTTCTCGCTCTTTGCTGTCTTAGATGCTAGAGACTCTCAGAGTCTCTTCAGGGTAGTTTGGCTCCCCTATTGAGTTAAGTCTTTCTGGGGATTTCTGACTCCCTAAGAGGAGAGCTGTGCTGCTCTCCTCTGCGGGGGGCATCTCTGCCTTCCTCTTAGAGAACCAGTCAGCCCTGCAGGGCTGGGGCGCCACCATGGCTGCTGCAGCGGATAAGGGTGTGCACCTCCTCTGCTGCTGTGCCCTGGGGCAGTGGGGTTGGGACGCCAGGTGCCTCTGGGTGGCGGGGTCAGGCACGCTCAGTCTCCCGGGCTGAGGGCATGAATGCTCAGCCTCAGCTGCTGGGGTGGGATGGGCAGCTGCTGGGCAATGGTTTGGGTGTGCACCATCCCTGGGGTTTCAGATGTCAGCACCCTGGGCCTCCGCTGCTGCAGTGGCAGCTGTGGTGTGGGTGGGGTGGGGATGGCTGGGTCTGTCTCGCACCACTGGGGTCTCGGGCACGGTTGGGTGCCCTCCACCACTGAGGCCAGGGGTAGGGGCTCAGTCATGATCCTGGCAGCAGAGGTGGGCCCACAGCTAAGGCTGCTAAGGCTGCGGAGGCTGCAGAGGCTGCACGGGGACAGCAGGTGGAGGTGGAGGCAGCTACTGCGAGAGAATTCCCTAAACAGCTGCTGAGTGCCTCTTTTCTTTTACATTTTGAAAAACTCCTCCTATTCAAGTCTGCTGCTACAGACAAGCGCCTGGTCTCTCACACCGCACAACTCTCCAACCAGACATGGGACTATCTGGGTCAGGGTCTGTCCCAGCCCAACTCTTCTTAGCCTGCATCCACAGTCTCAGCAGGTGCACACCACCCCTGTGTGTTTGCCATTTTGTCCTTATTCTCCCCAGTGACTTTGAGCATCCAGGTCCCTTCTGGTGCTGCTCAAACCTTGTTTGAGAGGGGAGGGAACCATTGACCTATCTCTCTCCCAAGAACCCTGGGGCAGACCTGGTGGAGCACTGGGCCTGGGGCTGCAGCAGCCCTGGTCTCCCTGTGTGGTCCCGGGACCCTATTATCCCAAAGCACTCTTCTTATCTTCTGATTTTTCAATGTCCTCTACAATTTTGGCCTCCAATCTTCATATATGCTGGGATACCACTGGCTGTTCACTTTGTTCCTCAGAAGATCAGCTAGATGTTCCACCCATGCACAGGGGGAAGTGGACTCTGCTCCCACCTATCTCACCACCATCTTCCTACCCGAGAGACCTCTTATTCAGCCATGTTTCTGACATCAGTCCCCAAGTGCATTCTCATTTCCTGTTTGACAACCTCACTTGACAAGTCATATTCTTCTTAATCAAATTTCAATAATTTGATGCCATACTATGTATGATAAGTAGATTTTATATCCTTTCATGTCTACCAGTATTTTATTCTTTCTTTGTGCCTGATTGTGATTTTATAAAGGTATACATTTCTTAATACAAAATAATTTTCCTTTGGACCTTCAGGCCTTTCTCATTATTTTAATGAGAGAAATGTCTGGCAGTCTGACATTTTGTCTTTTGTCAGTTTGTTTTGTTTTGTTTTCTCCCACTGTATATTTTATGATTTTGCTTTAACCCTTGAGATTCTGAATTTTAAAAATGAAGTATTTAGAAATAAACTCTTTTCTTAATTTTGCTATCTATCAGAAAGTCCCATTCTATATAAAGATTTAGGTCCTTTGTATCTGGAAAAATTTCCCTTATTATTTGTTTTGGTTATCTTCATTTCTCTATTTTTTTCCTCTATTTTTCTCTATTATTTTGTCCTTTATTTCTCTATTTTTTCTTTCTAGTATTGTTACTTGATGTTGGCCCTCCTGGTCTATTCTGTGTGTCTTATCTTTTCCACCATATGTTATATTTCTGTTTACTTTTTTATTTCAGGGAGATATTCTGATTTAATTTTCCAAACTTTTTATTAAATTTTCCAGCTTTATCCCCATTATTACCTTTATAGAGGCAATATCTTTTCACTAAGGATTCTAAGTAACATTTTTGCTCTCTCATGAACTTTCTCTATTAAATCTATGATAATTTTCATTTTATTTTATTCTAGTCTTCTCTTACTACAAGATTTTCTCAACTATTTGCTTTCCCTCTTCAACCTTATTCATTAGATACTGTAAACCATCTTATTTCATCTCAACAGACATTTATTCAAGCCTCCTCTAAACTCTACCATATTATATTTGGTTCTTGTGCAATGCTCTCTCACTTACCTTGTTCTTTTCCTTTATAAATTCTTCAGAGTTTGTAATCTGATGTTTGTCAAGTTATTTCATGTATGTATATTTTCCCCTGAGAGTGTAAGTTTTGTGAAGACAATAAATATATTTGTTTTCACATTATGTTAATGCACTCAGAACAGGTAACATGGCATGTATCACAACACGGGTACTCGATGACTATTTCTGCACTATTGATTGGACTAGTGAATATATTGACAAAATTTGGGGCTGGGTTCAGAGTGTTATTTTGCTTTTCTTTGTTATTATTCCTGGTAGTATACACATTCTTTAGAGTTACATTTCTGAGAGGTTCTTTGGTCTACAGCACACTTTGGATACTCAGGGTTTCCTAAGTGTGATAAAAATTAAGAAAACCTTCAAAACCAATATATCTTCAAACAGAATGCTTCTCTGCCTATATTTTGGCTTTCCTAGAATACTTACAAAGTTTTATATTATGGAAAATCAACTATATAACATAGGAGAGAGAATAGTGTCAGGTGTCAACAGTTTAGCTTTAACAATGATCAATTTATGGGCATATTTGTATGCCCACTAATTAATCCTACATGCTCACTGGATTATTTTGAAGATAATCTCAGACATCATATCATTTTTCTCATAAATATTTTGTTGTGAAAATCTACAATGTAATAACTTTTTAGAAACATAACAACATGTCATTAGCACACCTAAAATTACATAAATAATCCTTTAACACAGTAAGTGTCTGATTTTTGTGTCTCACAAAAAATTTTATAACAGTTGTTTTCTTTGAATATGAGTCCAAACAAAGTCTAGCATTTGGTTGATGTTACTTCAGTTTTTAAATATACGGTTTAACAGTTGTTTGCCTAGTAGAACTGCCCCTATTTTGGATTTTGTTGGTTGTATCCCTGTGATGTCATTTACTATGAGATTTGTGTCAAATTATTTTCTGAGAACATAACACTAGCACTAATTATTAACACCCTTTAGCTACTATGTGTGAAGAGCTTGATCTGTAAGAAAACTTTAATACTTTAAAAACCCCTAGTTTTCATGTGGTAAGTACAAACCTGATATATTTTATGTAATTTTTAAATTATGTGACTTTTAAATGGTATGATAGTAAATATTAATAAAGCCATACTTTATATACATGATCTGAAATAATTCAAGCAACTTAAATAACTTTCAAGAATCACCATAATTCTCAGTCGTGAAGACTGATGTCCAACTTTGTTAACAGTAATGTTATGTGATGACCTTACTTTTAATTTCTAGCTGATAAAAAGAAAGAATTGCTCTTATTTTTCAGAGTTAATTTTGCTATTTTAAAATTATATAATATGAACACTTTATAAATGGTTTCCTTTAATAAAATGCAACTGCAGCTAAGTTTGCTTTTCACAGTATTTCACAGAACAGAGTCTGAGCACAGCAGCATTTGTGTATTTCTGGGATCCTGGGCATAATGACACTCGGTATGACACTTTTGTTACAGCAACACACATACACACACACAGGACCTCCAAAGTGCTGAGTTCTTACCTCAGGAATCATTAAAATTTAAAATTCTTTCTCAGCACATTTGTGCATTTTCAGATAATCTATATATTTTTCCTTATTAATATTTTTATTTTATGCATTTGGGATTGCAATTGCCAGTCTTTTGTTTTCTTTTTAAATGCACTATATTTTAAAGTAATTTCAGGTCCACAGGAAAATTGAGCAGAAGGTGCAAAGATTTCTTGTATACACGCTGCCCTTACACGCATACCCTCCTCCATATATACGCTTCCTACCAGAATGGGGCATTTGTTACAAGTGATGAACCCACGTTGGCACATCATTATTACCCAGAGTTTGTGGTTCACATGAGGGCTCACTCTCAGTGTTGCACATTAGATGGCTTTGGGCAAATGTAAAACAACCTGTGTCTACTACCATTACAGTATCATTCAGAGTGTTTTACTGCTCTAAAAATCTTCTGTGGTCTGTTACCTACTTTGTCATGATTGGCTCTGGTTCAGATACTCTGCATGCAATACTAATTCCTAGTCTGCATATTTAATTATGCTCTTCTATCTGAGAAAGCTTTTTCTCCTTGAGTCTTTCCCACTTCCTCCTGAAAGGAGACATGCATAAAAATCTGTTGCATATAACATACCTTGACTAAAAGTTTATGGGCCATAAAGAAGGGACATATCTTTTATCTAAGAGTAAAAACCTAAAGTCATAATTACAACTTTTTGCTCTAGGAGTTCTCTTAGCAACCTCTTCGCCAGTGTTATGTCACTGACTATTATACCCTATCCATTGTCTCAGTCTAACTCAATCTTAGTCTCCCTAATTCCAGAGAGGAAAAATTCCTCCAGTTAATGTATGAAAAAAAATTCATCCATAGCTCCATGTTTGAATCTCCTAAATCATTAAAGAGATCATAAAGGAAAAGTGCTTTTCATATAATATGATACATTGTTTTTAACAAATTAATTATGCATATAACTAGCAATGTTTGCTTTTTAAAAGTTTTAATTTTTTATTACAGTTGACATTTGATATTATTTTATATTAGTTTCAGGTGCACAGCATAGTGGTTAGACATTTATATAAAAATATGGAACACTTTTTGAATTTACAAGTCATTTTTACACAGGGACCATGCTAACCTTCTCTGTATGGTTCCAATTTTAGTGTATGTTTTGCCCAAGTAAGAACTAGCAATGTTTTCTTGTGTATTTGCATGTGATCTCTAAAGCACTGCTTGTATATCAAGATTATTCAAATTCTGTCAATACCTCTGCAAAGTATTATCATTCCCACATTGTGGGTGAGAAAAACATGGCTCAGAATATTAGACACTTAACCTAGTGTTACAGAGTTTAGAACACTAGCTATAAGGTACCGAGTCCTGGATTTGGATTTAGGCTTCTTTGTACTGAACTATTCTGTATCATTTACTATGTTATTATTTATCATTTTTCCCCCAGTTACATTTCAAGCTCAGTGAGGCATGTGACATGAACAGGGACAGCCTCATACATTTGTAACCTTTTCATGCTGTCATCCTAGGTGTAATGTAGGGACTCAGTAATTAGAGTGGAAAGACTGAGGCATGTGCTGAACACAATTTCAAAAGGCAAAATGGCTTTTCAAGTCAGGCCACATGCACTCTCAGGAGGAAGGCCTTGGGCACACTCAGAACAGCCCGAGAATCCATTCTGTTGCTCCATTTCTTCTGCAAGGGATTCCATGGGGAAACTGAATCTAGAAGAGGATCCAGCACCCATAGCTACTGCTACATTATCTCAACCATGTTGTCCTCCACTCCCTGCTGTCCCCCTTCCCCCACCAACAAACCAGCCATATGTTTTCCACTCTCATAGGCTCATGCTTCCTATGGAGCATGGACCAGGAGTGGAGAGGGCCAGGCGGCTGGGTACATCGGGCTGATCTGCTGCTCCCAGGGTGCACAGGGACACCCAGGGATTCAGTGGGCCTGACTTCAGTTTATCTGCCTGGACACACCCTGCAGCCACATTCCCTCTCCTGTCCCTGATGTACCATGGTGGCACAGGAAAATCTATGTGGTTATGTACCAGGACTTCATCTGGGAGGTGAGGCAAACTATATCTGTATTCTAAGGACCCAAAATATGTCTGTGGTGTTTACTCTCATCCTTTTCCATTTGTTACCAACCTTAAGTAGACAAAGTATTTGGTCCTTCTCAGATACCCACATTAGTGTCGTATTCTAATGCTTTCCTAATTAACTTTCATTTGTTCTCCTGCTTAGAGAATTCCTATCTCCTCGAGGGTAAAGAGAAGAGAGGAATGCTTCTAATATCACTTATTTTTTTTTATAAATTTAAAGTTTGGGAATTTTTATTTTTTTGATTTTTTGGTACCAAAATTTTGACTTTTGATACTTTTGAAATTCAAATTTTCTTCTCCTTCTCTGTCATAGCTTTTAAAAGCTACGTTATAATAAGTATGGACTTTGTTCTTGGTTTTTGTGTTTCTGCTGTAACAAATGTATGCCAATAGCACAGGGTATATATTATCTTTACTGATGCCTGAATTGGGGGGTGAGTGGCAGTGGCCAAGGCTGGAAACCATATGAAGAGAAATATTTTTTAAAAAATATTTTATTTATTTCATTTTTTAGAGAGGCAGGAGGGAGGGAGAGAGGGAGAGAAATGTTGATGTGCGAGAGAAACATTGATTGGTTGCTTCTAGCATGCCCCCAACTGGGGACCTGGCCCATAACTCAGGCATGTGCCCCAACCAGGAACTGGACCAGTGACCCTTTGGGTTCATAGGCTGGCACTCAACCCACTGAGCCACACCAGCCAGGGTAAGAGAGAAATCTTAACCTCATCTAAGATATCAAAATGTCATCAAGCTATATTTGGTTGCTCCTGTGTTACTGAGCATGAAATATGATCTGGAAAATAAAGTCAAAGGGGCCTAAAGCATAAGGGTTTGCCATTTTTAGCCATGGTCCTAGTCAGCCCTGTGTTAAATGAAAGGAAAAAAATTCAATAAAAGACTGCATAAAGGGGATTTATTGTTCTCATGGAGATCAGAGTAGCAAGGAATTAGGTAGATGGATGGGATATCACAGGGATCCCCATGGTAGGTAATGACTGAGAAAAGAAAAAAATGTCAGGAGATGAGGAGCAAACTCCAGCAGTTTGTGAGCTCTGAGTGAATAGCAGCTGAAATCCCAGAGGAGGGATAAGAGGAAGGGTACTGGAGGAGAGAAGGAACATGATGAACTTGGTCAGAGAACAGTGCTCGGCCATCTAGCACGTCCACTCTTCTCAAAGACTGTCAATGCCCCTGCAATAATAGGACAGACATGAGAGCCATAGGTTGTAGGGGATCCTGTGATATCTTCATGCTGACATACAATTCTACAACTTTTCAAACACATTTGTATCCACAACCTGTCCCCACTTTCATTCCTCCTGTACTGTGTCTCCAGGTCCCAGCTCTAACAAATCTGAATCCTTACCTTCCCTCCTGGAGTGTGACTCACAAGGGCCCTTGGTGTCTGGAGCCACCACCTGGGCGCAGGCCCTGGATAATGAAGACAGTGCCCACCACGATGCCCATGAGCCCCACGGCCAGCCCCAGGGCGCAGACTACAGTCTCTGTCAACTCTGACATGGGAGTTGGAATCTCAGGCTCTGTAAAAGTGAAGTTGTGGAGGTCAGAATGTAGAAGGTTGATTCACATGCCTGTGTGCAAGATGGGGAGGAAGGGGTGGTGTTGGCTCTACAAAGACTTTGTACCATGTTTAGGGAGAATAATAAAGTATATCATTAGAAATCCTTGAAGTACAAAAAACAAGCTTTGGGACATGAGGTTTAGGAGCTAAAAGGCAGGATGTTCTGACCTGACAGAGAAAAGAAGGCACCAACACACATGGGACTCATACACACCCCAGTGTTTCAGAAGTGGCTCGTCCAGGCCCCAGTGCTCCACCCTGCAGTCATAAATGTCATCAGCAGAAGGGAGGAAGGTGAGGTAACTGATCTTGAGGAAGGAATGATCATTCTTGGACAGGAAGCTGGTTTCAGAAACACCCTCTGTGACTGGGTGCCCATTGCTTAGCCATGTGATGTTGACCACAGGAGGGAAGACGTTGTCCACAGCACAGATGAGGGTGTTGGGCTGACCCAGCTCCACGTGAGACTTGGGATACACAGTCACTTCAGGAACCTCTGTGATGAGGAAACAGCGCTGGAATTAGAATTGCAAATAGCTCTGCCCTGAGGTTCCTGTTGCATCCTGGAGGAGCCCACCCACCATCATTTTCCATTCTGCTTGTGAACCATTACACACTGCCTGTGCTTCCTCCCTGTGTGCTTCATCCTCTGAGGGCCTGCTTGCTAAGGTAGGAGGTCTATGGCACCTGTCCTTGAAGAATTCAAAGATCATAATATGGGAGCAAAAATCTTTGTATTACATGGAAATATGAGATTTGTGAGAAGGGAGAGGATGGTGGTTCAGCAATTACCATGAGAAGATTTGGGGACTCCTTGGAAAGGAGAGAATTTTATAGAGTAGTGAAGGGTCTCTATCCAAGGCAAGAAGGGAGTGAGGCCTGGTATGAAGGGGTAGACTCAGTAAAGAGCCAGATTGGTGGACACATACCATTGGCAGCCGCAGTAGAGTTGGAGTGTTTAATCAAGATCTCCATGTTCTGTTTCATTGCAGCCATTACTCTCAGTCCACCCTGTGGGTCAAAACCTCCGAATGTGCTGAACTCAGGCAGCCGCCAGACAGTCTGCTTTCTTCTGCTGGTCCACGTATAACAACTCATCTCCGTCAAATTCAAAAGTGAACTGGCCAGAGTCACCGTAGGACTGATAGAAGCTTGTGCCATAGGCAGCAACGTGGTCAGCTGATGAGTTGGGGGTGGGGAGCAGGGAGGTGGAAAACAGGGAGAGAAAAGGATCTTATTAAACAAAGCGACAGAACAAACTGACTTAGAAGGATTGTATGTTCCACCTTTGGCAGAGCTTTTAGACAATTCCCAGCACTTGCTTCCTCCCCTTGGTTGTCCAATTAGAATCCATAACAGTTTCCATTTGAATGTAGGTTCTGCAGGAATAGAATCTCACAGGCTTGTTTACTGCTGTTCCCTGCCAGCCTAGCTCAGTGCCTTGCAGCTCATGGGCTTATGACAAATACTGTGATGAGATGTACTAGGAATGAATGAATGAATGATCGTGGCATTAGCTTTGCTTCCCAGAGATTCAGTTTATCAAAAAATCTGTTTCATAAGTTTTTCTCTCACTTACTTTCTTCATCAGTTAATATAGCACATTCATTATGGTTCCTGTCCTCCTCAGGGCTGGCTCAGAGCAGGATCCTCCTATACAAAGATTCCTTCCTCCTTTTTTTTTTAAACCAAGGAAAAGCACTCAAGACCTTATTATTTTAAAAGTTTCTTTAACTGCTTTAGGGTACAAGAAAGAGTACAATTAAGACAGTGACAATATTATAAACTATATGAAACATAAACAATGCCTCTAAGTTCTCTGTGTGGCAGTAGTGATTCTTAGAGGAGAGTACCCAATTTCCTCTAAAATAAAAATGAAAATTTTATTAGATTTTAGATTTCTGTTATGTCTTACCCCTTTTTTTTCTTGAAGGACATTATTTAAACTCTCCCTTCTCTGCCTCAGCACTTGCATTTGTTGAGGACTCAGGGCACATCCTGGCCCTGCACTTCTCTGAGGATGGAAAGCAGATGGGCAGCCACAGGCTGACTCTGTCCAGATGAGCCTGACTGAGCAATTACTCCAGACACATCTGAGCCTGTCAGCATTTCCTCTTCCCACCCTTCCTCGTTTACTGAGTGTCAGCAAGGTTTCGGACATTGCAAGGAGCAGGGAGTGAAACATTCATCACACATTGTCTCTGCCATCAGGGAGCTTACTGAATGGGGGGAGCGTCAGGTGAGCAAAGGAGCCAACACAGTGTGCTGTGCTGAGTCCTCCACAGATACCTCATCTGCCAATCAAACCAAATGACATTATCCTTTCATGTACCTGGGTCTTTACAAAGGTCTGTTTTTCTCCCTGAAATTATCTTTTAGGATTTTCTGGATGCATACAGTTCATTTTTGAAGTTTCTGCTTAGTTACTACATTTTTAGCTACTTTCTATCATTAAACATATTTTTGACCACATTATGGTCTCCATCCTCCATCCAAATGTCCTTCTCTATAAGCTTATCTGTTCCTCATCCCCACCCTGCATGACCCACTGGGTTGGTCTTTTTTAAGACCCTCCAACAAAGCCTCCTTATCTTTGTAATGAATCTTTTGACTCCTTTTTCAGACATGAATATTTGCAATTATTCTTTTCATCTGGTACTTGTCCTGAGCAGCCAGCTGTTGCTGTAGAATGCACTGGCACACTGCTGGGCCAGCTGGAACTAATCCACTTTCACAGTTTCAGCCTCCCTGGGTCCACTGTCCTGCTCTCCTGCACCACACTGTCTCTGCCACTAATCTGAGCACCCTCTAGGGGGCAGACAGCATGCCTTTCATCTTTAAATCCCCAACACAGCTTTCTGTGCCCTCAAACTGTGTATTCAATGTTGATTGCTCTTCTCGAGGATCACAGAGATTTGGGGGAAGACTGACAGACATAGGGTAGCAGAATCCTATGAAAATTAGACTCAGAGGTGGCCAGGACTGCATTGTATGTGATCCCTAAGCACTGTTGCCTAAGTGGCACCTTTTTTTTTCCACAAAAAATTAGCAAGTCATATTTTATGACCATATTGGTATAAAGACAAATATGATTCAGGCTAAATTAAAATAGTTTCTTCTACCCTAAAATTTCATTTTTTCTTCTAATTTAAAAAAAATTAAAGTATTTTCATGGGGCCCTATAGGCATCTCAGGCCCTTGGCCTGGTGCCCACTGTGTTAATGGGTAAGTCCAGCCTGACCAGGGCACCCTGGTGTAAGTGTGGGTGGGAAATTTGGATGTGATCTGGAGAAGCAGGTCACACTTCCGCTGCCCAACTAAGAAGGAAGGGGAGCAGCTATGGTTAATAAAGTCGCTGAAGGTTAGAGTAACCTCTATTTCACTTCCCCTTTGAATGATTTAACTTTTCTGCTTTGGCTTTTATAAACCCTCTCTTGATGCCAATGAAACAGTAGGGGAAAGAGCCAGAGATGGATCCTGGAAAGAAAGGGGGATGGAGGAAAGTAGGGAGAGAGGGAGGAAAGAGGCAAACAGCAAAGGTGGAGGGGCCCAGGGGACCAAGTAGTTACTCTATGCTCGCCCATTCTTCCTCTTACACTTCCTTTGATGGGGTGAAGAACAGGCCATTTGGGCTGACAATTTGAGACTAATATAACTTAATTCACCAAGTTTTCATCATAAAGTTCTCAATTTTAAGATGAAGATGTTCTCTACTTTGTTCATGAAAAATTATAAAGCTAACCTGTAATAGGAATAATGTAAAAATAAGAATATCATGGACATTTATAGGTCTTCATTACTTAGAAAGTATATCTACACACCTATTTTACTTGATTATTTGTGAGGATGACACATAAGAAGTAACTGAGACTAAGTGAGGACCACTCCCCACCCGTGCCAGTTCTCAGCATTGAGATGTATGTAGATCTGAGACAAAGCAAAGAACCCTTCTTTACAGCTACATGGTATTCATGGTTCACAAAACTCTTTGCCCCAAGATAAACTACAGGAAAAATGTATAAAAAGCTCAAAAAGTGGTTCAGCAAAATTTGGGGCCATAGTTCATGAATCTTTAGTAATAAAACATTCACTCTTGGAAACATCCCTAACATTTGAGGCAATCGTGCATGAATGCCACAGAGCCCGGCAGACTGTACTCAGGATCCAACATCAGAAGCACAGCAACGTCTTCAGTGCAATGTGCAACAGCATGCATAGCAAAGGGAGTGGGTTGGGGCTCTGGTTTTATTTTTTAAAATTTATTTTATTGTTGTTCGGTTACAGTTGTCTGCATTTTCCCCCCACCCCAGCCAAACCCACCTCTCTCCTTTGCTTCCACCCTTTCCCTTGGTTTTATCCATGTGTCCTTTACAGTAGTTCCTGAAAACCCTCCCCCTATTGTTCCCTCCCCCCTTCCCACTAGTTACTGTTAGATTGTTCTTAATTTCAATGTCTCTGGTTATATTTTGCTTGCCTTTTTCTTTTGTGGATTATGCTCCAGTTAAAGGTGAGATCATATGGTATTTGTCCCTCACCATCTGGCTTATTTCACTTAGCAGAATGCTGGGGGCTCTGGTTTTAAAAACAAGGAAGGACGATAATTTTTTGATCCACTTAAATTAAGAACACCTTTGAAGACTATCTACTATTCTATGCAAATCCACCTCTTTTACTCTCCAATTCTGTTTCCCAAGTCTAGTCCCCACATCACTTAGCAGTGCACTCACCCACAATGTCTTCACCTCCACAGAGACTCATCATGGTGATCAGGGCGAAGTTCCCCCAAATCAGAGCTCTGTTTAGGATCATCCTCTTCTCCAAGTGGTCTCAGCAGGTGCTGTTCTGAGTTGTAGAGCAACAGTGAGGACCGAGCTGAGAAAGAAATCTGAAAACACCCAAACCAAACCTTGTAGGTCAGGATCTGGCCAATCAGAAAAATCCCCTATGATGACAATTCAGTTACCAGTTGAGAAGTTTGTAGCAGAGACCCTGGCAGAGATTGGGAAATTCCCTGGTTCTGACTCAGCCTCCACTCAGAGTGGACCTGAGTGAGTTTCCTATGAAAGGAGGGAGGCTATTAAATCACAACCTTCTCTCCTGTGTGTATGCCTCCTGGTGGCTACAGGGATAGGAATTTCTGAGCAGCTGCATGGATAGATGCAATCAATACCAATATGGTGTCTTTCAGGATTTTCTGGGTTACAACCTTCCAGGATTCCCCTGAGCTGATTCCCCTCCCTGACAGCCCAGCCCACTCCCCATTCCCAGGTCTCCATGTGTGGCTTAGCTGTCTTTCTTTTTGCATCCAGAATGCATATGGACTCCAAATTTTGAGCTGACCCACTTACTCGTCAAGGGAATCTCTACCTGTGGTAGCCAAGGAATACCTTTGCCTTTTCTACTCATATGAACTTTGTTGATTAAGTTATTATTATTATTTTTTATACTCTCAGAAGGTCCAATATTTACACCTGGGAGTTACAATGTAGTGCTGCCTACAGTAACTGCATGGTTTTGCATCTGAATTTTTCCTGCCTTGAGTACTCTTCATGCTCTGAGTTTTGGTGCTGCCTATGTAAGTTCAAAGGAAATTTGGGGACATTGATTATATTAGAGAAAGCTCTGCTGGCTCACTCCATGATTTTATTTTTTTTTTAATTTAAGAATGTCAAATAAAATAATGAAAGGGATTGCTGTGACTTAGAAAATTGATTTCTTTCCCTTAACTTACTGGATCTTTTTCATATTCTTTATCCTGCCACATGAAATTTCCATGTATTTGTGAGGGACTAGGGAATGAGCTAAAGCCACAGGAGGGAGACATTTTGTTTCAGAGGAATTCATTTTCTGTGTGTTCTGGAAGCCACAGGGTAATGGGGGCTCCATTTGGAGTCAGCCACCCTGTCCCTGTCAGGTGGCCCTCAGTTTCTCAGCAGTCTGTCTTACCTCATGGTGACAGTGACATGCAGAAGGGGGAGGCAGAAAAGCCCTGCATCTGGGAGCTTCCTGGTGCTATTAACCAGGCCTGGCATTACCAGTAGCTGGCCTGGTACTCACAGCTGGGTTCTGGTGTTTTCTTGTTGAATATAAGCAATTTAACAGAATGTCTGTATTGGGCAGTCACTCTGTGGCTATGGTGGGTCAACCCAGAAAATGAGGTCACTCAGGAACTGTCTGAACACAAACAAAACATGAGCATTTCTGAACCACAAAAATGACCAAGCACACCTCTCTCCCAGATAACATGAATGACTGCTGCGTCTTTTCTTTAAACCTATTTTTATTTATTGATTTGAGAGAGAGAGATTTTTTGTTTCACTTATTTATACATTCATCAGTTGCTTCTTGTTTATGTCCTGACCAGAGAGTCAAACCTGCCATGTTGGTGTATCAGGATGAAGCTCTAACCAATGGAGATACCCAGCCTGGGGTGACTGCTGCTGCTTTTTTTAATAACCAGTTAAATCTTTAGCTCCAGCATTGTCTCTCTTCCTTCCAGGTAGGACTCACTAAGATACTCAATTAGAGAACTACCCCACCCCACCACCCATTTCCTAACAGAAGTCCAATTAAGAACAAAGTTTCTGTTTAGTAAATCCTTCTCAAGATCACCTAACACAAACCTTATGAGTTTAATGATCAGTTTTATGTGTCAGGGAGGTTATAGTCCCCAGTTTTTCAGTCAAACATTAATATTTTGGAAGGCAGCTGTGCTCACTGCTATACCACCAATGTTAAATATTAATATTTGTAGATATGATTAAAGTTCATAATCTGTTAGTTTTAAGTGATAGAGATGATTATCCTGGATAATTGGAGAGAGCCAGATCCGATTAGTCAAGAAGTCTCAAGGGCAGAGCTGAGGCTTCCCCGAGGGAATAGATTCCACTTTGGGCTGCAGCTTCCCTCTGTGCTGAGTTCCAGCCAGGCCCCTCCTGACCGTGGTCTGCCCTATGGGTCTTGGACTTGCCTAGTTCCCCAAAATTGTATGAACTAATTCCTTGCAAAAATCACTTTTAATAGACATCTCCTACTGATTTTGCTCTTTTGGTTCCAACACCCTTTTCTAAGATGCCTCACAATTCTCCCAAGTAAGTTTTCTCCCTCACTGCAGTGAATGATAACATCAGCTAGTTCATCCACAGGTGTGCTGCTGGGGGCCTTTGGCTGGAGGCATTGACAGCCAGCACCTCATTAGGTTGTTGGGAGGAATAAACATAAACTGCACTTGGAATGAAATTTTAGGACTCTTTAAATACACCTGCCATACTGTAATATCAGTCCTATTTTATAAGGAGGACCTTGAAGTTCAGACAGGTGAAGGAATTTGCCCAGGTTCATGCAGCCAGTAAGTGGCAGAGATGACATGTGATGAGGACAAGCCATGAGTCCTTGTTGGGGGAGGGAGCTCTCCTGTGTGGATGCAGAATGCAGTGCCCTGCAGAAATTAGGAAGGATATCTGACCCTGTTGGTGCCTTATCACTCATTTTAGCCTCTGCCATTGTGAATCAAGAGGTTCCACTTGAGATGTGCTCCATTTACCATGTAGTACTCACTTTTCCTGCAGTAAATAACATGTTTTGATGTTTTTTCCTGGACCCAGACTTACCTGTTTTGTGTCTTGCAAAAACTACTCAAGATCTGGGCAAATGAATGAAACCTTTCTTGATGGTATTAAAAAATTTCACCTATTGCTTTTTGCAATGAGTCTGCTGCCAGAACACAGGTGTCAAGAAAACCAGCACTGAATCAAAGCCACAATGGGAAAGGAAAAGACTCACATCAACATTGTGGCTATTGGACACATAGATTCTGGCAAGTCCACTACTACTGGTCATCTGATCTACAATGTGGTGGGATCGACAAAAGAACCATCGAAAAATTTGAGGAGGCTGCTAAGACTGGGAAGGGCTCCTTCAAGTGTGCCTGTGTCTTGGATAAATCAAAAGGTGAATGCAGATGTGGTATCACCATCGATATCTCCCTGTGGAAATTCGAAACCAAGTATTATGTGACCATCCTTGGTGCCCCAGGACACAGAGACTTTATCAAGCACATGATTACAGGGACATCTCAGGCTGACTGGGCTGTCCTGATTGTTTCTGCTGGTGCTGGTGAGTTTGAAGCGGGCTTCTCCAAGAATAGGCAGACTAGTGAGAATACCCTCTGGCTGACACACTGGGTGTGAAACAGCTGATTGTTGGTGTTAACAAAATGGATTCCACTGAGCTGCTCTACAGCCAGAAGAGATATGAGGAAACTGTTAAAGAAATCAGCACCTATGTTAAGAAAATGGGCTACAACCCTGATACAGTAGCATACTTCTGGTTAGAATGGTGACAACATGCTGGAGCCAAGCGCTAACATGCCTTGGTTCAAGAGATGGAAAGTCATCTGTACAGATGGCAGTGCCAGTGTAACCATACTGCTTGAAGCTCTGGATTGACCCCTGCCACCAACTCATCCAACTGACAAGCCCCTGCGTCTGCCTGTCCAGGATGTCTACAGAATTGGTGGCATTGGGATTGTCCCTTTGAGCTGAGTGGAGACTGGTGTTCTCATACCTTGCCAGGTGGTCACCTTTGCTCCTGTCAGTGTTACAACTGAAGTAAAGTCTGTTGAAATGCACCATGAAGCTTTGAGTGAAGCTCTTCCTGGGGACTATGTGGGCTTCGAGGTCAAGAACATATCTGTCAAAGATGTTCATTGTAGCAATGTGGCTGGTGACAGCAAAAATGACCCCACCAATGGCAGCTGCTGGCTTCACAGCTTGGGTGATTATCCTCAACCATCCAGGCCAAATCAGTGCTGGATGTGCACCTGTGCTGGATTGTCACACAGCTCATACTGCTTGCAAAATTGCTGAGCTGGAGGAGAAAATTGAACGTTGCTCTGGGAAAAAGCTGGAAGATGGCCCAAAGGTTTTAAAATCTGGTGATACTGCCATCGTTGATATGGTTCCTGGCAAGTCCATGAGTGCTGATAGCTTCTCTAACCATCCTCCTCTGGGCTGCTTTGCTGTTCATGACATGAGACAGACAGTTGCTGGTGGTGTCATCAAAGCAGTGGACAAGAAGGCAGCTGGAGCTGGCAAAGTCACCAAGTCTCCCCAGAAGCTCAGAAGGCTAAATGAATATTATCCACAACACCTGCCACCCAGTCTTAATCAGTGGTGGAAGAATGGTCTCAGAACTGTTTGTTTCAATTGGCCACTTAAGTTTAATAGTAAAGGACTGGCTAATGATTACAATGCATCATGAAACCTTCAGAAGGAAAGGAGAATATTTTGTGGACCATTTGGTTTTTGCATGTATGTGGCAGTTTATAAGTTATTAGTTATTAAATTAGGTACTTTTTAATGGAAAAAACTTGACCAAGATCTGTCACAGAATTTTGAGACACATTAAAACAAAGTTTAATGAGAAATCTGTGTGTTCTTTTGGGCAACACTGTAAACTTCTTTTATATTATTTAGGTTAAAAGACTTAAGAGTAGCCCATAACCTATTTCTGGTGTTATATTTGCTGATGATTCAGAATTGGATAATTCTGTTAGGGCTTTTTGGGGGGGTGGGTGGGAACTTTTCTTTTTCACTTTGTCCTGAGGAGAGGAATCTGTTTACGTAGTAAAAGCTGTGGGAGGGGCTCTGGTGCAACACTAAACAGGTTAGGACAGACACAGAAACTGTTTATGTGTAAGCTAGTTTATAAAGGCCAAATTCTGGTATATTAAGTCCACGTGTTTCATATAAAAGTTTTGTAGTTAACATTGATATTGAGTAAATTTTGTTAATGTCAAATTCCAGTTTCCATCTTTACTGAAATGTGAATTCATGTTTACAAATGCTGAGCTAGTTTAAAGAACTTAAAGTGATGCTTAAATA